TCTAGGGTTAGCTATATCAATGCAACAGAGCACTTATAAACTCTCAACAACAGCATTTTTTCCATAATGAGTCTGTACTGGATTTCTTTTTTTGTTCTTTGCCTACTGAACAAACATATGTTGAAATGTGACATTTCATTGAATATTACCCTGAATCATGGAAGTAAAATAATTACAGAACACTACTTATAGAATAGAAGATTTATTTTTTTTAAATGTGGTTGTAATTTGCTTCTGAATAGATCTGTACCTTGATGGAAAATAAACATGGTAGTTTTCAATTTTCCCTATTAGTGGAAGAAAGAAGTGAATGGGTGTGTAAAAGAAGATGAAGTCCTTAATGGGACAAAGGAGTACATTGTGAGAGGATTTTTTTCATAGTGTCAGACTTCTGAAGAGCACACCTTTAGTCTTGCAAATGACATAGAACTCAAGAAATTATCAGTCAGGATTGTACAAGAGTCCATGTGAGTTTCATGGAATGGAAGAGCACTTGTAAATAGCCAGCTACATGAGGGCAGGTGGAGATGCAGAGAGAACTGTGAAAGCTATTTTCCACACAGTTATGCATCTGGAAAAATCTATCGCTCTGTGGGAATGTCGCATGAGGTAGGGAAAAGTACACTTGGCTGGGTCTATGGAAGGTAAAGCATAGGTGGCTGAGGTTTGCACTTCTAGCAAGTGACCATATTGAAGAAAAATGAATAGCAAGGGCTTTTTGTGAGAGCTGTTTGGAAAGTTATTAAAAGTGTGCTCTAGTCAACGTATTTGCTATGTTTCAGACCTGAAGGGAAGAGAATTCCTGAGAAGTTCACAAAGGGTTACAGGTTAACAGCCTTACTCTAAAATAAATAATAATTAAAAAAAGATGCTTAGCTTCAAGTCTTTGCTTACTGAGGCATTGAGACTCTGATGGTTTATCTTAAGGTGAAAGTCTCTCTGCAGCCAATAGGTCTGGTGCATTTAGGTCACTGTTTAAAGCTCAAAAAAACACCTTGTGCTAGACCTGAAAATGAACAGGTGACCAGTTATGTGTCACCAACCCTTGGCAACTTCTGGGGTCTCAATATGAGTCACACCTTGCCTCCATACTATTTTATTTTGCACTATCTCATCTTTCCTAATTAGGCTGTGGCTGTGTGTATAACATTGTAGAGACTGATGTGGAATTTGAGGTTACAAAGACGTATGTTGGACTAGCAAAGACTAGATCCAAGGAAAAGCTTTCATAGTCACCTGGGTAAGCAGTAATGAAAGAGATCAGTCTGGGCAGTGGCACACTGGAAGCCAACACTGCCCTCTGATAGCACAACCTCAGAACAAATAGTAGGTATATCTCAGTCCCAGGATTGCCTGTCACTTTTTTTGCTTTTGGGAGTTCCTTCCTTCAATCTCCTGTTTTTTTGCCTTAGCTGAACTGTGTTTCATCCACCTTGTTCCTTACTGCTGTTTAGTTCTAGAGGATCAATATGTGAACTATCTCTTCCCTGTCCCATCATTTACTCTCATGTCCTCTGTTTCCTCTCTGCAAAGATGTATATTTTGCAACATCTGGCAGCAAATATATCTTGTGATTTGCATACAAGGGCCTAAGAGAGAGACCATTTTTCTATTTTTCTCCAGTAGTCCTGATTTCAAATTACAGCTAACATAAGTACGAAAGGGTAGTCCATGAATCTCAGTTTCTGACATCAAAAGTAAGATGTAAGAAGATAGACAAAAAAGATAGCACACATGAGAATTTTTTCACAGGACTAAAAGGCAGCAGCCAAACAACTGTTAAATCTATTCTGGGAGTCTTTACTATATTTCTTAGTTCTTTTTTTCATTGTCATTTATTTTGGTGCAATTTTGAAACTTATTCAGTTTTATTTCAATGGGCAATTAAAAGTGCTGATTAAGAATTAGAGATGGAGAATTAGTCCTTAAAATTTTAATTTTAAAGTTCCATTTATCTTCCAGTTACAAGTTTTTTGGTTTTATTTTGTTATTCATAAACATTAATGAATAGGAAATAAATCTCCCAGTTGAACTTTTGAAGTTTTAAAACTAACCTCTAAAACTATGCATAGAAAATAAAATCCTTTCCAGATTTGATAATTACAGTCAACATACTCTACCTAGAATCAGCTCTGGTTTTTGATGAGAAACGTCTGTGAAGAATTTATGATTGAGCTGACAAATCAGTTTGAAAATTTTGCTGTTAAAAAAAAAAATAATCTTGCATCAGTTTAAAGACCATAGAGACTCAGGGCAATAGAGAATTGGCAAAAGGCAAAATCAATGATGGGGTGAAGGGCTAGAGGAGAGAGCACATCGTCCTCAGAGACAGCAAAGTAAGGCAGCTAAAGGTATCTTATGGAGAACAGAGTCTGAACGCTTCGTGTTACTGTGTCTCTTGGTTGATTTTTAGGGTAGAATACTTATGATTTTCATAAAAATGTCTATGTGTATGTGTCTCGTTTGGCTATCAGAGCAAATGCAGAAATTCTAGGCTTTTATTACTCATTCTTCTTGAAGTTCATCTGTATTATTTGGAAAACAGTATTCTGTGATTGTTTTTTAAGACCCCATAAAGCATTGTGAAAGTCTCTTTTTGAAAGAGAAAATACAAAACAATTTTTTATACAGCTTTAATTGAATGCAAATGAGTGACTTAAATATTTGAAGTATTTAAGGATGTTTCATGTGATATTCAAACAAATATAGAAAGGCTATCACCATAAACATATTTTCTGCAGACTTTTACACAAACCTCTTCCCTTTATTCTGTAACACTTTATCATAATATAGGGGTTTTATACAACATTTACATTCTCTTTATATAAAGATCGGATAAAAATATATCTTCAGAAATGGTTTTATTTGTTAAAACAATTTAAAAACTCTTAAGCCCCTGTTTCCAGACACTACTTAGACACCTTAACGTCTGCAGGCTTAAACTTGCAGCATTAACTTTGTAGTTAACTTCTCATTATGGGGCAAATGCAGCTAGTAATGAAGCTTTCTTGTTTCTTCCTCCATCTTGTGATGTTGAATTGCTCCAAAGTCAGGTTTATCGCATCAAGGCATTTGGACGTTCTATTAAATACTGGGAACTGAAGGTTAGATGAGCATACAGAGTAAATCCAAGCAGATTGTTGCTTGGATGTATCCTAAATAGTATATCCTACTTGCAAGGGTTAAAACTGTACATAAAAAAGGAAAAAATGAAATGCCTTGTGGAAGGAACCTTTGTGATAATTGTAGTTATTCATAGTTAATTAACATAGCATTCAAACAATAATATAGTCAGATGATTCCATTGACTGGAATGAAAT